TACTATATCTCTAGTCAAAATGAATCACAGTCCTCCCTAAAGGAATAAAAGCCAACTGAAGTCAATGCTGAGGCTCAGAAGAGGTTCACATCATTCAAACCTCTTAAGACTGCATTTGCCCTATACACCCTACTGATTCTTCCAGACTGCACCAGAAATATCATGCTGGCAACAGGAGGATTTAAGGAATGCTCTATAAAAAAAAGAAACTGGAATTAGGAGTCAACCATCAAAGCAGCTCGGCATGCTGCTCTCTCGATTACTTTTCATTGGCTTGTCAAAATATAATAGTAGTAGAGAGTTATCTGTGCTCCCAGTTCTCACTGTTGTACATGCACAAAATGCCTTCACTGATGCCATGAACATGGGACCCTTGTATGTCTTTGTTCAAAGAGTAAACCCATTCCAAAATACTAGGACTCAGGAGTTCCAATTTATAAGCCTCTTGCTCAGAAACCTGGGGTGTGCTCCCTCCCTTCCTTTCTGGATAACTTATCACTTAGGTTGGCCACAGACGGTTTACATTTTTGCCAGTCAACTTGATCAGTGCCCTGCCGACCTTCTATTTTTTCAGGGTGTTTTTACTCCCTAGGTTTTAGGAGCGGGGTCAAATTTCTCTAACTCCTGTGAGCAGTATGGGGAGATTCTCCTGGTCCCATGTTTGCCAGACAGCTACAGCAGCAGCTTACATCTTTTATAAGCGTCTTGCAAATTTGTGCCTGGTTGGTAAACGCAAGTATTTGGAAGCCATCCGGATCTTCCTGTTGTTGGAAAACACAGAAAGAGTTTGAAGTGGAGGTGTTCCTTTTGCAACAGCAGGGGAGATGGATTGGAGCTATTCCCTCTCTTCTGAGACATTCATACATGTAAAGACGGGCTAAGAGATGCTGGGCTACTGGGCTCTGTGTGTGTAGCTCTTAGCCAGCTCACTGGGTACATGCAGAGCACTGAGGGGCAGCTTCCCTTTCATAACAAGCCTTCTTGTATAAAATCTGAAAGCCAAGTGGCTTTGAAACCTTTACAGTACAGTTTAATACAGGGCCCAATTAGATTCACCATTCTATGTCCAAATATGTTTGTGCAATTGTGCGTCTAATTTTTGCATGCTGTGGTTGCAGCTCCTTACAACTGGACACACAAATCACAGGCTCCCTGAAGGCATTTGGCACGCATGTGCATCTTTGGTTTATGCTTATGCCTAAATTGTTTGAGAGTCAGACAACAATATTGCCACTGTCGTAACATCCTGGGTACTGACTTGGAAAGGGGCAGAGCAAACCCCCTTTTTTGCCCTACAATTCTTATCTATCACCGCTACAATGAGTAGCTTTTAAAACCTGCTCCAACTCAAGTGGCATCAAAACATTAATTGACTCGTGTGGAAACAGCTCAGAGAAACGCCTTAGTTTATGTGTAAAATTGGCTGCTGTTTCACTTAATGGATGCCTGCCAATTAAAGTATTAAATAGATCTAAATAATGTAGCTCTAATGGACTTAATGTCTGCTACCAAATTCCAGGTCAAGGCCAAAATTCAAACCAGACATGCTGGACTGTCAGAAAAATAATTAAAAGTGTGATGGTCTGGTTAATGAAAATACATGATAGTTTGCTAGCAGCCACACAGATGGTGACAGACAACACTGGGAACCATCACTGCTCTGTTAAGATTAAACATCAAAGATGCCATACAACTTATTCCTTCAAGGCACTAGGCTTCAAAATCCTGCCTGATTGCTAATTAAAAAAACTCCACTCTCTTGCTGCATTGATCATTATTACTTACCGCTTAAAGAACGTTTTATTTTACAATAAAAATACTAAACGGCCAAACTTCAGCATAACTTTCTAAATTCTTGTTAATTAAGAACTGTTAATACAAAAGTAGCTACATCTAGGACTTTCTGTCCATGCTGAGGTTCAGTTTCTATTAGGGGCTGTGTCTGCTTCAGCGCACAGAGAATTTAGTTTACTTGCAGAAATGTTTCCCATAATCTTCAAGCTTCACCTGGTTGTAAGGGACCTGAAGGATTATGCAGTCCCACTCCCTTTACAGAAGGGAGATTTTAAATGAGTCAAGCCAAGCATTTACCTTGGGAAATGGATTTGAAAAGGCATGCTTTTTTAGTCGGGGAACAGAAGCATTACCCTGCGACTCTGCCCAATCAAAGCTATTCAGCAGAGAACCGGCTGGGTTCGGAGTATGAAATATTTACAATCCCTGCCTGAAAGCAAGTTGCAAAACAAGAACTATTTACAAGAGACATCTGACTGAACAAATTCAAGGCACTCAGGGCCTGCTTGCAAATGGTTTGCAAACAGGAAAAGGAAGTAAATAGGTTGAATCAACAATTCATTAGAAATGATTTACCAGCTTCATCAAGTGCATCATCATTTATCCCCAATTACAGCGACAAACACGAAGGTGAAGTGTTCAAAGAGTGAACCCATTCCAAAATCCGAGGACTCACAAGTTTCAATTTGCAAGCGTCTTGCTTTGAAGACTGTTGTGTGCTCCCTCCCTTCATTCTGGATAACGTATGGCTTATGATGGGAGGATGCAGAGCCACCTGTTCACATTTTTGCCAGTCAACTTGATCTATGCCCTTCCAACCCAACTCTCAATATTTCTTCTTATTCAGTCCTTGGCTTTTCCTGTGCAGAAACTAGCTTCATATTGTGCAAAACTGGGTACATCACACTAAATCCTTACGTGGGCAAATCAACATTGAAGCAGAAGTCTCCATAAATGAGTCAACAAATCCCAAACTCCCTGCAGGTTTCCATCCTGATGGATTAAGCCCTTTTACTTTTTCAAGCAGTGCAGGAAGGAATTACAAAGACATGAGAGAATACAGGTTTCTCTACACTGAGACAGTGCGAGCACCCACGATGATATATCACCCATTCTGCAATAAATTAACCTCCCTGCACTCCAGATCGGGAACCATACGATACTAATATTACATAAGAAATACACTGAGCAATGATAATCAAGGTTGCTCAGAATTGTGTTTAATCTGTAATCTCAGGGGCTGCGTATGAAGAAATAAATCCATCTCCTCAGCCCCATATTTTTGCTATCGAACAGCATTTTAATCCTAAATGGAAGAAGACTGGCAATAAATAGTAATTAAAAAAAAAAAAAAAAGGTTTACCTATACTTCATCCCTTTAATCTCATATAAGAAAAGCTTGCCTCTCAGACATGAGACTTCAGGTAAGCATGCCAGGCTGAACTGGACACCAGATGTTCACAAACTAACCAAAAAATGGACTATTAATCGGAAGAAGGAGTTGTGATATTAAAGCCCACCTTGATGCTATTTAGGTACCCATTTAGACACTCATGGAGCATTAGGTGCCTACATTGCAATGATTTCTTATTCCCCACAGTTATTCATTTATGTCTTGATTTGAGCAGTATTTTTTAAACTGGGAAAGAAGTGCCTAAAAATGCTTCAGGATTTGGGTCCAAGTTGTCTTTGGAGGAAACCATTCCAATTTCCTTCCATTCAGCAGAGGACAGTTCCCTCTGAACAGTCGAGCCCAGGAAGCACATCAAAAGCTTTCGGTACACACGCAGTTTTAAACTTTTACACTCTAACTGGGTAGAGATTAATCCATCCGAAAATCACATCTGAAAGCAAAGACCTTGAAATGCTGTCACATCTAAGCCTAGCAACAAAAGGGCTAAAGTAGGTTGATTTTTCACTCTCTCTCCCTCTCTTCCAGTTCACTTCATCATATTTATTTTGAAGCATGATGTGCCAATAAATAAAATATCCTGAAACAGAGTCAGAAAACTGCCTAAAAGTAAACTCACAGGGAAAGGTGTATAAAGGAAACAGGGCACTTACTGAGCTGTGTTATCCTCCATCCACTCCACACTCTGCATAGTAGATCAGATCAGCGGCATGTGTGTAAATCAGCACAGCTGTTCTGAAGTTAAAGAGGTTAAGCTATTTATGCCAACCCTGGATGTAGCCCAATCCATAGGCATTTGTGCCAAAATAGCAGCTCTTTGCCTCAAAGGTGGAGTTTGCTCTTAATACTTCTACTGTCACAGGAGCCATGGCACTTAGTGAAATTATGGGTCTGGCTGCTCCACAGAAATCAAATCTGATGACAGGGACAGACGAGTGCAGTTTGAAGACAGGGAGGGGGGAAATCGATTTGCTTTCTTTGATACCCCAACATTTTCCAGACAAGACTATGCAGACCTTGGTCAAGTCGCAGGGGAAGGGCAGCAGGGAATTGATGCCACTGTGAATCATAGAAAATGAAGGGTGGAAGGGACCTCCGGTGGTCATCTAGTCCAGCGTTTCTCAACCCATGGGTCGTAACCCAAGAATACATATAAGGGTCACAAACAAACTTTAAAAAACTGATCAAACTTTAGAAGGGATTCTTCCTGGAAGGAGAAAAGTGTGGGAAACGGTGGCTTTTCCCTTGCAGGCTGGCAGAGCTCCAGGTTGCAAGGGGTAGCTTGGTGCTCCCTCACCCCCCACATACTGGGGAGCTGGGGTCTGGGGTCAGGTCGGAAGTGAGGGGCACTGGGTTGGACCTTGCCATCGCTGTTTACAAATGGGGAAAAAAGGGTGGAAACCACTGACTCAAAGCAGGACCATCCTCAGCTACAGCACCCCAGCTGAGCCTCTCTGCGGTACCGCTCACAGCATCCAATGCCAACTAAGCGTCTGGCTCCAGCTAGACAGTGCCCAGCACAGGGCAGGATCTGCCCTGGGGGGCCCCCAGGATTGCACGGTGCCTCGGGGGCTGCGGGATCCCTGGCTTGGTCATATCCCAGGTTACTCCCGAGCTGGACAGAGGGGAGAGGTCCCGCAGTGCAGGACCTGCATCTGTGCACAGATGTGGGTCTCAATCAGCAAAGGGAGCAGCCAAGCGAGCGATGCTCTCCCCGCCCCGGATTGCACCCTGCCTCCCCCCGGGGAAAGTCTCAGCCAAGTTGTGCCGGGGGTTCAGCCCTGCCCGTCCTCACCTGGATGACAGTCTTGAGCGTGGAGGCGGCCACGATGGTGGTGCAGATGAGCGTGTCCGGCTCCTGGCCGCGGCCGTAGATCTCGCCCATGGTGAAGATCATGGGGATGGCCAGGAGGAAGGAGGCCAGCCAGATGCAGCTGATGAACTTCTTGGTGCGGCTGCGGGACATGATGCTCTTGGCTTTGAAGGGGTGGCAGATGGCCATGTAGCGCTCCACGCTGAGACTAGCGATGTTGAGGGCCGTGGCGTAGGTGCAGGCGTCCCGCAAGAAGTAGTAGCCCTTGCAGACGGCGGGGCCGAAGGCCCAGGGGTGGTGCACCCAGATGAAGTTGTACAGCTCGATGGGCAGGCAGAGCAGGAAGATGAGCAGGTCGGACAGGGCCAGGCTGGCCAGGTGGTAGTGCACCGTGCTCTGCAGGTTCTGCAGCGACTTCTTGCGCGCCAGCGTGTAGGCGGTGATGGAGTTGCCCACGGTGCCCACGAGAAAGAGCAGCAGGTAGATGACGGTCACCATCACCTTGGAGTACATGTCGGTGTTCACGTCCAGGTCCTCCTCGTCCGGGCCCTGCGCCAAGGGCGCCGAGGCGTTGGACGCGTTGCCCGCCGGCTCCGGGGGATGCCGCTGCCCCGCCGCGCTGCCGTTCAGCTGCATCCTCGGAGCGGAGCCGAGCGGGGCCGGGCCGGAGCGGGGCGCACTGAGCGCGGGC